TTTGGGGAAATCGGTATCAGAAAATTTTCCAATTTTTCGGAAATTAATTGACCGAATTTCAAACAATTGTATATGAAGTAGAGGTAGAATTTTCTGGGGAGTGCTATAAAGTGTATTATTTTTTGTTACCGATCTTTTTGGAAACCGGTTACAAAATTTTTCCAATTTCTCGGGAAATAATTGAATCTTAAAGAATTACATATGAAATAAAGGTAGAATTTTCCCGGGATTGCTATAAAGTGTACAATTTTTTGTTACCGATTTTTTTGGAAACCGGTTACACATTTTTTCCAATTTTTCGGGAATTAATTGACCAAATCTTAAAAAATTATATATGAAATAGGAGTCGTGTCAAAATTTTTTTAATTTTTGGAGGATAAGTTTAATTTTTTATTAATGGATAATTTTTCATTAATGAATTGATTTTCTTGATCTATATATATAAGTACCGGACGTCTGTCTGTCTGATATATGAAACAGAGGCAGAATTTATGAAACAGAGGTAGAATTTTTCGGGGAGTGCTATAAAGTGTATTATTTTTCGTTACCAATCTTTTTGGAAACCGGTTACAAAATTTTTCCAAATTTAGTGTTTCAAATTAATGAGTGAATTTAAAGCATATATAATTAATATACAGATAGATTTATACCCGCGCGAAGCGCGGGCCGAAAAGCTAGTGAGTTAATAATATCACACGGTAAGAAATTTGATTGGCTGACGGATTCAGAAAAAAATTAATCTTTACAGCAAAATTAAATCATAACGAAAACTTTTATCTGCCAGTGATTAAAAACAAATTCAAATGTTTTATTGCTCGACTACCTGGTTAAATTTATACATAGGTGCACAACGTTTCGGCTCACGGTTAGAGCCCTTATCAAGTGCCGTCTGAAATATATGAACATCGCAATATAACACATAAAAATATAAATTAGAAATTAGTCATAAAAACAGAGAGCATTACCTAATCGTCAAAAAGACTCGTCATAAGTTAATCAAGACCTCCTTGCGTTCATGGGAATGTCCCAGCATTGTCACAAAGCACAAACTACGGGAAATCACTCACATAAAACCAATATACAGAGAGAGAAATGCGACAATCAATTCTTACGTGTCTTAAATATTAAAATTCCACCACCAAGCATCTTAAGTTTGAGACTCTCCGATATGCGATGTTGTATGAGTGGAATTACTCAGGAGACTGAACGCTAATGAGGAAAAGAATCAAGGAGTCAAAAGGTTGCCAAGAAAAATAACAAATATAAACAATTAAACTGACGAGATGACGCCGTCGTATACAGCGTTTAGGTTATCTGTATCTCTCTGAAGATTAATAATGTTGTTATGTTTCTTTATAAAAAACATTTCAGCAATCTCTCTCTTTTTCGTATTACACTCTGTTTGCACAAGCTCGCGCACAAGCCTGAACTCTAGAATTAGATGAGGAAGGAACAAATAATTAAGAATCCGGTGGTTGAGAGAGAGATTGCATTTAATTATTTAAGAACTGTAAAATGACTCGAATGGGCAGAACTAGACAAAGAATACCAACATTTGTTGCATAAGAGAAGGGAAACTGCCCGAAAACCTTCCCAGTATTCTTGAACAAATTATTACATAGATTATACAACATATAATGAATATACAATAAATGAATAAAATACGCAAAGGAAATAAATCAGTAATTATTATAGTACAGTCCTTTCTTGGTATTGACAACGAAATAAAAGTTGAAATCACTGCTGCTTTTCCTCGATATATAATCAGGTTAATCATAAAGAAATATTTATAGTACGTAATCTCAGAGTTTTCATTGACGTAATCAAAAAAAGAACATGTAATTTCAGGAGAGGACTGTTCAACAAATAAAGCAAATCAATCAGAATATATGTTAAGTTTAAACATAATTGAAATAGTTATTGAATCAATGTATCAATCTTTGAGTTCTGAATATCAATTACTTTCATTGGTCTTTTACAATTTACCATATATCAAAATTTGCTCTAGAACAAATAATTCTCTTTCAGCAAAATCATATATTTAATACAAAAAGGATAAAGTATAAGCATTTCTCAATATATTATTCATAGGCCTTATAGTTTGAATCGACACATTAATTCATGGTTCGCATAAACGGAATATTTGATCAGTCAGAATTCGCAAAATACTTAGTAGAATAATTATCAAGTCCATGAGAAATAATTCGCAGAATACTTATGAGAATAATCATCAAATCAATGAGAAACAAGTCGCAAAATACTTAGTAGAACAATTATTAAATCAAGAAGAAACAATTCTTATAGAAACGCACGGAAATGAATAATCAGTAGTTCGATAATAACGCACGAGACGATTTATATGTTTCGCAAGGAACGCAGTTTCATTGAATAATTATTACACGTGAATGTAAAGAATGTTCGCAAAGTAACATAATACACTATAAGAAAATTGTCTGATCAATGAGAAAGAAATAATCGCACAAATAAGTAATAAAGTCTTTTTTTTACGTTTCACGAAAAATGGTTGCAACCGTACAATTAATGATTTTACTTTAAACTGAGCTCAGTATTCTAATTTGACTCGAAATAAATTGTTCACAAACTGAAATAAGAGAGGATGTTTTCCTCTCAACCCGCGAGACTAGCAAGGATAACCCTCAGATGAGATTAGGATCCTTTGATCAGGATTCCTATCGTGACGCTAGACGAAATTCTAACGTCTCTCCTCAGAATTGAGAAATGATTGGTTACCTCGTGAGAAAATCAGGTGAATAATTAGAGCTAGTCTTACAGAACACGCCACAGATAGCTTTCCTCTCGATGTATAAATAGCTGCTCGTATTCAGCTTGAACAGAATTCCTCGAACGTTTCAGAAAATGGCTTCCTTCCTTCCTTCCTTCCTTCCACGTGCCGGCATGGCTCGCCGGGACGGATATCCCTGGATTCCTCTCGGTGATGATCGCGGTGTAACGTATATCTCGTTGAGTAAAATATTTAAAGTAATTAATCACAATATGAAACACGTAGAGATAATTCACAACTTAATAACTCGAGACAAAAGTATGACGCAATTCTATCGAACGTAGCAACAGTGCACGATGTGTCGTGCACGAAATCTGGGAAACGAATGGC